AAATGCCTAGTTTAGATAGAGACTTGGTGGAACATAGGTTACCAACTAAGCCTATCTTTAAACCTCATAGGCAACCTCCTAGACGTTTTGCTCCCAATGTACTCCTTGAAATCAAGGAAGAGATAGAGCGATTATTGAAAGCAGGTTTTATTAGAACAGCCAGATATGTCGAATGGTTGTCCAATATCGTGCCAGTACTAAAAAAGAATGGTAAACTAAGGGTGTGTATAGACTTTAGGAATTTAAACATAGCTACACCCAAAGATGAATATCCAATGCCCACGGTGGATTCTTTAGTAGACTCGATTGCCGGACATGTCATGTATTCTTTCATGGATGAGTATTCAGGATACAATCAAATTTATATAGCTGAAGAAGATATACACAAAACTGGCTTTAGATGCCCTGGGTCTCTAGGATGTTTTGAATGGGTAGTTATGCCTTTCGGCCTAAAAAATGCAGGGGCAACTTATCAAAGGGCAATGAATTTAATCTTTCATGATATGATAGGCAATTTTGTTGAAGTGTATGTAGATGACATAGTAGTCAAGTCCATTAAAGAAGAGGACCATTTCGAACAGTTAAGATATTCGTTTGAGCGAATGAAGCAATATAAACTAAAGTTGAATCCCTTGAAGTGTGCATTTGGTGTTAATGCAGGGAATTTTCTTGGTTTCTTAGCACACAAGAGAGGGATTGAACTTGATAAAAATAAAGCGAATGCCATTTTAGAGACCAAACCACCTAGCAACAAAAAAGAATTGCAAAGGTTTCTAGGCCAAGTAAACTTTTTAAGACGCTTTATTTCTAACTGTGCAAGGCGAACTAAAGTCTTTTCGTCGCTCTTAAAGCTGAAAAATTAGGACGAATTCGTCTGGAAAGAAGAACATCAAAAGGCTTTTGAAAGCTTGAAGATATATTTATCAAGTCCACCAGTGTTGGTGTCACCAATCCAAGGACGGCCAATGAAAGTGTATGTATCGGCTGAAAAAGAATCAATAGCTGGAATGGTCGTACAGGAAGACCAATTTGGTGAAAAAAGGGCAATTTACTACTTAAGTAGACGGTTAACAAAATGTGAATGTAATTACTCTGCTATCGAAAAATTATGTCTGGCATTGTATTTCACATGTACAAAATTAAGAACTTATTTACGGCCCGTAACCGTTTATTTAATTTCTAAAGTAAATTTAGTCAAGTACATGTTCTCGTGCCCTATTTTACACCAAAGGGTAGGCCTTTGACACTAGCTTTATGTACCTCAAAAAGCAGTCAAAAATCAGGCTTTGGCTAACTTTCTAGCCGATCATCCATGCCTTGACATGCCTGAAGAAATTGAACTAGAAATCAATTCGTTCGAGCTAAAACCTTGGGTATTGTGTTTCGATGGATCAAAAACCTCTAAAGGTGCACGAGTAGGAGTAGCATTGATTAATCCTTTAGGGATTTGCTACAAATTCGCATTCACTTTAGACAGAATGTGCACCAACAATCAGACCGAATATGAAGCCTTAATTGTAGGCCTAGAACTAATGATAGATATGGGAGTAAGAAATGTGATTGTTAGGGGCGATTCTCAATTGGTAATCCACCAATTGATTGGTGATTTTAAATGCCAAAGTGATTCCATTATAAGTCAATATGAGATCGCCCAAGAATTGTTGGAAGAATTCGACCAAGTAGAACTTCAATGCGTTAATAGGATATATAATGACGTGGCAAATGAGTTAGCCCAAATGGCCTCAGGATACTCAAAGGTTTTGAATTGGAAGTCTACTTGTGAGTATGGAATCATATTACCCGTGACTCAAAGAAGGACGAGAAAGATTGAACTTCACTACATACAAGATGGAGATGCAATGGATTGGAGAATAGATATTAAAAGGTTCCTTAAGGAGCCTAATGGAGGGATTAGTAGGAGAATGAAGCTGTGTTTGCTGAACTATACACTAATAGATGAAGAGTTGTTTAAGAAACGCTCTGATGGTGTATTACTGAAGTGTGTAAGTTTGCAAGAAGTCAAGACAATCATGGCTGAGGTGCACGAAGGGATATGTGGATCTCATCAAACTGGCCAAAGGATGAGATGGTTAATTATTAGGAGTGGATATTTCTGGCCAAAGATGGGAGAACTATGCGTTCAATATGCAAAGAGTTGTTTAGCATGCCAAAAGCATGGTCCAATACAAAGGGCGCCAGCACGAGAGATGGCACCTATTATTAAACATTGGCCGTTCAAGGGTTGGGCAATAGACCTGATAAGGAAAATTTATCCCCCATCGTCCAAGCAACATACTTTTGTTATAGTTGCAACCGACTATTTCACCAAATGGGTAGAAGCGATACCTTTGAAAGAGATCACCCAGAAGAACATTATAGAATTTATCCGTGATCACATCATTTATAGGTTTGGAATTTCACAAACGTTGATGATAGATCACGGAACATCTTTGAATGGGGATCAAGTGAACCAATTTTTGAGCGAGTTTGGGGTTAAATTAGTAAACTCCACACCATACTACGCTCAATCCAACGAGCAAGCGGAATCTTCTAATAAGATTCTAAAAAATATCATCAGAAAGATGATAGATGAAAATGCCAGAAATTGGCACGAATGTCTAAACAAGGCCTTATGGGCTTATAGAACATCACCTCGATCAAGTACCAAAGTTACTCATTTCCAACTTGTTTATGGACAGGAGGCCGTTTTGCCTATGGAAATCAACGTGCAATCGATTAGAGTGTGTTTGCAACATAAGTTGAATGATGATGAGTATGCCGAATCACTAGTTCAAAATTTATTGGGGTTAGACGAATTAAAGTTGGACGTCTTAGATAGATTGCAAGTTCAAAAACAAAGAATGGCTAAGTTTTATAATAAAAAAGTCATAGCCAAGTCGTTCAGTCTGGGTGAACTAGTTTGGAAGACGATACTCTCTTTGGATAGCAAGGACCCAAAGTACGGGAAGTGGTCGCCCAATTGGGAAGGACCATACAAAATAAACAGTGTATTGCCCAATGGAGCGTATCACTTGGAAGATTTAGATGGCACCAAGCACGTGAGATTCATTAACGGCAAATATTTGAAAAAATATGTTCCTTCTTTGTGGGAATGTGAACAGATAAAAGCATAATCAAAATATGTTGAACGATTAAGGATAACAAGGTCAGAGCGATATACGTTCAAATAAAGTCCTTTATTATCAAACGTTCGTTACAAAGATGCGAAAATACAAATAATGGATGCTCTACAAACTACAATCAAAAGTAAGCTAATCTCCCGGTTTATCGCTGAGTAAGAGGGTGGACTAGCCTCACACCGCCTTCCTAAATGCATCGCTGCAATGGTGGGATTGCCGAATAAGAGGGTGGACTGGCCTTACCACCTTCCTAAATGCATCGCTGCAATGGCGGGCAAAAAGGCTGAGAAGCACTCCCAGCAAGCAAACTGAGAAGCACTCTCAGCAAGCAATGTGGCCAGCAAGCATCCCAAAAATTGCCTTCTATCATCGACTCCTTGTAAAGGACAAAGAGACAATGGGAAGAACTTCGATGGTAAAAACTTTGCTGCTGGCCAAAAAATATTTTCTATACCTCCCACACCAAAGGTGACATCAAGGCAAATAGTAAAATGGGCGGACTAAACAATCCATTTTTATACTTGCGTAAAATCTCTGATTTTACATAGAGTGTAGTGAGATCTTCCTTCGATTGTTGTATTCTGTGTGAATGATGAAGAAATCTGAGTGATTTCTCTGTTGTATCATTTGGTGGTTTTCGAAGGTGTTGTGGGCTGAGATCTGAGTGAATCTCTGTAGATCTGTTGCTATACTTGAAAGATGAGTTTTATTTTCATCTCTCTGAACAATCTGTAAATCTATTGCCTCGTTTTGGCTGTTTAGTGCAACTGAGCACAATCCAAATCTTTGCTCAACGGGGGATGTAGGCGATAAATGTGGTCGCCGAACCTCAGGGGCTTAGGCCAAAATAATTCCTTTGTATTCTTTTAATTTTCTGCAATTTATTTCTGTTCGATTGAGGTTTTCTTATTTCTTGATTTTAATATTGTGTGGTCCTGCCTTAACAAAAAGATTAGATAAGGACCAAAGAAAAGTTTTGCTTTATGTGACTTACGTGGCCTACAAGATTATGATGATGGTCGGAATGGCGAAATTTCCAATTCTTCCTGCCACACACTATCTCTAGTAAAAGCATTCCAAAACTGAAGACGTCAGATTTCACCGAGAATTTCCCGTCAACAATGTATTCTGGCGACGACATATAGCCACTACATGAACCTCAAGTTAGGTTCCAGACACCGTAAATCCATATTTTAATTCACAGAAGGGGAGTTAATATAGAACTTACTGAGCACCAACTACTCGCTTTGTTTTGCTTTCAGTTTGATCACACCAAAAGCTCTTGCCAACCCGAAATCAGAAATCTTGGGATTCAAGTCACTATCTAGTAAAATATTGCTACTCTTAAGATCTCTGTGAATGATTCTCAATCAAGAGTCCTGGTGAAGTTAAAGAAGTCCTCTCGCCATGCCCATAACAATCTCAAAGCGCTTTTTCCATGTAATCAATGTTTTTCAATGCTGATCTACAACAAATTCATAATATATGGACAATTTGGTGATTTGAAAATGCCCATAACATTAATCTAATGGGAAATCAAGAGAGGCAATTCACCGAAAATGAAATGGTCCAAGCTTTTGTTAGGCATATATTCTTAAATTAGCATCCTTTCATCTTCTTCAAGGCAACATCCCAAAAGCCTGACAAGATTCGGGTGTTGAAGTTTGGAAATCAGAATTACTTCACTCCTAAACTCTTGAAGACCTAGTCCAGAATTCGTTGAGAGTCTCTTAACCGCAATTTCTTGCCCTGTTGGTAATTTACCCTGTACATTGTTCAAAGGGTGCCATGAGGCCGCTGCTTACTATCAATAACCATAAAATCATTCAAAACTTAATTTTCTTACCTTGCACGCGATTGCAAATCCGCCTTCTCCAAACATATTTTTTAATGAGAAGTTCTCAGTTGCATTAGTAACTGTACTCAGATCAAACATTGGCAGCTCTATATCTTTCATGTCGATATTAAAAGCTGTCAGCAGTTAGTTGGATAATGATAGGAAAACCAGTTAACTTAATTAAATGAGATTTGCAAAGTTCATACACCTCTTTTCGATTCTCTCTTCTTGATGAGACGTAAGATCAAGAAGCCAAGGATAAGCATTCCACAAGCTAAAGATATGACCAAGATCAGCACCAGTCTTGTCTTTTAATTATCATCTGATGATCAGAGAGATACTTAATTATAGGAATGCATCTCAATAACTACATTATATTAACACTATTATATTGTTGTCATTACTTATTTTCAAAGTGAAATATATTATGGGAGAACAATATTATGCTTGATCATCATTTCAACATATAAAAATATTGCCCTAAGATAACTTGAATGAATACACAGACCAGGCTGAGATTACAGTAGCTGCACTCTTTGAAGTCTGATAAAAAATGAATTCATATACTTACTGAGTTCGGAAGTAGCTATTCGTATATAGATATATTGTGTTTTTCTTTCAGAAAAATCTTGAATATCTATCAGATCCACGAACCACATGAAACAACCACTACCACCTTCACAAATATCTGAATTTGCTTAAGCCATGCAAGAGCAATTCTTCAAGCATTTTGCCCTACATTCTTTTAGAGTCATGCTTTTCTTTAGTGAATTCTTAAGAAGATCTAGCAATTGCACGCCTCCCAGCTTTAAAATTTTAATGGAGTCCTGCAGGCAACTCAATGGAATCCTCCTCACACATCCACTGGACCAGTAAAGTACATCCCATTCACTCTGTGATTTAGAAACAAATCCGTGTAAGCACTCACAAATTGGACTAGTCTTGATTCTACAAATGCTATTAGCTCCACATACTCCATACTTGTCGCACCGATTATTCTGTGTTGAATCCAAAACAGTCGATGAGGATACCCCCTTTTTCAGTAGGTAACTTTGGACTAAACCTAATGGATACGCGGTAAACATGATAAAAAAAGAATTGTTGACAATCTCATTCATAAAGTACAGTTCTTTATTATTGTAAACAAAAATTTGTTTGAAAGCCAAATCCCAGCCATAAGAACTGTTAGACATCATGTTATCAAACGACCTCCCGGGCGATGATGAAAACCAATTTTATCAGTCGACATGAATGACTGAACGATAATTCAACATCGAATAATGGATAAACCGACCAAACGTTGCTTTACCTATTGGATGACTAATACTCTTTGTGGCTTGTTGTTTCTTTCCATTGGGACTTAACCCTAGTCGAGCCTACTTACCATATTGTGACTTACCTTAAGTTGGCCATATAACTAATATATATATTGGAGGTTAAGCTCTTCTCCTCACCCCGTTTTTGATTGAACCCGAGAGGTAAAGAGAAACTGCCGCCTTCTTCTTCTGCCTTCTTCTTCGTGATTTGTCTTCCCTACCAATTGCTTGAGCCTTTGTGACTCTTACCTGTGTGGTATCCATCCTAAGTGTGTGGTTGAATCAACAAGCAAAAGAGGAAATAGCAACCGTAGGAGAGTTGAAGCCGGCGGTTCGATCATCTTAGATTTTGGTGTTGAATTCGATGTTTAATGGTTAACTGAGCCCGAAAATCACTTTGTGCAGCTTAAGGAAGATCCTAACATCTGGTATCAGAGCTTGGGTAGCAAAAATTGGCTCAAACTCGGCTGATTTTCGGACTTGAACCTTAGAACCCGAATCTGAAAATTTCCAATTACTCACAAAACAAAACTCGGTTGGACAAACGGAGGCCATACCCATCACCAGCAGGTCGAGGCGCTCCCGGAGAGGCGGCGCGTGGACGACTGTCCGGTGACGCTGTCTTCAGGTAACTTGCTTGTTTCGATCTCCTGAACGCGCTGATATACTTTGTTTTGTGTTTCAGGTTACACAGAAAAAGTTGGACGATTTTGCCCTTTGGTACGACGCCGACTGAAATTCAACAGCAAGCTCGTTTTTCTCCACTCTACGGACTCAGATAGGTCTGCTCTGGTAAATTGGCTTAATCCATTTAAATTCAGCAATATCAAGATCATCGTGTGGGGTGATCATTAGGTTTTGGGGTTACCGTGAAGGGGTAACCATTGCTTGTGCTAGAACTAGGATTACTTGCATTAATTGAGTGTTTGTTCTTTTGATTTAAAGTGCTTGGTATTTCTTGGTGGACGTAGCGTTTAGGTTCACTGTTACTTTTGCTGAGAATTAATAAGATATTACCTTATCACGCTTCCCAATACTACTTCGTGTGATTTAATTAGCGTTTTAACAATGACAACACATAATTTTGATTTGGGAATTTTTAATGGTAAAGGGGACTTCTCTATCTGGCAACAAAAGATGAGAGGCATACTAGTCCAACAAAAGGTGTCAAAAGCCATCGAAGGCAATTTTGCACCTGATATCTCAAAAGAACAAAAAGAGGAAGCCGATGAGCTTACCTATACCTCAATAATATTATACTTTTCTGACGCTGTCTTAAGAAAAGTGGGAAAACTAAAAACCACCAAAGAACTTTGGAGAAGACTAGAAGACTTATACTTGCTTAAATCTACACCGAATAAACTCTACCTACTCGAACGATTCTTCAGCTTTAAAATGGATCCTTCAAAGGATCTCGACGACAATTTAGATGTATTTAACAAATTAGTGCAAGATATTGTCAATTGCGACGAAGTCGTGTCTGAAACCTATAAGGCCATTATCTTGCTCAATTCAATCCCGGACTCTTATAAAGAAGTTAAAAATGCCATTAAGTATGGTAGGGACACGTTAACACCTGAAATTGTCGTAGATTCTCTTAGGAGTAAGGAAATGGAAATGAGGGCTGAAAAACAGGATAGGAGGAGTGGAGAGTTACATATGATGCAGGGTAGAACACAATTTAGGCAAGCTAGTCATGATGGATACCAAAGTAGTGGCGAATCAAGTAGTAATAGTTGGAAAAAGAAGGGGAATGGTAGACCTAGATCAAAGTCTAGAACTAAGGGTAGAAAATGCTATGGCTGTGGAGGCACAGGGCATTTTATAAAAGACTGTCATAAAGAAAAGGGAAAACAGAAGGTTAAGGAAAGGGATGAGGTAAATGTGTTATCCTCTACCTCCGATACCAAAAACGGTGAAGTCTATGTGATCACTAGTCCATTCGCATACACTACTGAATTAAATCTAACTACTAATTCTCACATTCATGAATGGATATTAGATTCTGGTGCGTCTTTTCATGTGACATCTGAAAAGAACTGATTTGAAAACTTGCAAGAATCTAATGATGGACAAGTAGTTTTGTGTGATAACTTAGCCTATACAATTGCTGGAATTGGAGACATAAAGATAAAATTTAACACAGGCTTTGTGTACGTGTTAAAGGAAGTTAGATACATTCCGAAATTATCTAGGAATTTGATTTCAGAAGGAAGACTTGAGAAAGACAACTTCACCGGTAAAATTGAAAACGGTATGTTTAAAATGATGAAGGGTGCGTTAATCTCTATTAAGGGAATCAAGAAAAACGACATTTACATCACTACTGGGGAAGTGATTAGAGGATTAAACTCCTCTATCTCTTCCGCCAAAATCGATCACACACATACGTGGCATAGTAGGCTTGCACACGTAAGCATTAAAGGACTTAAGCTATTTAATGAAAAAGGTGCATTTGGTAATGACTGTGTGTCTGACCTATCGTTCTGTGATCATTGTGTGCTTGGAAAGCACCATAGAGTGTCGTTTTCCACCAGTACGCATAACGCTAAAAGCATGCTTGAATAATAGTGCATTTTGATTTGTGGGGTTCTGCTAGTAATCTCACATCGGGTGGGAATAGGTATTTCCTATCTATCATAGATGACTACACCAGGAAAGTGTGGGTCTATCTATTGAAAGACAAAATTGAAATCTTCCATAACTTTAACAATTGGAAGAAACAAATGGAAAACCAAACTAGCAAGAGGATCAAATTTTTAAGGACAGATAACGGCCTAGAATTTTGTAATGCTAAATTCGATAGGATGCGTAAAGAAAGTGGAATAATAAGGCACAAAACGGTTCCTTATACTCCCCAGTAAAACGGGGTATCAGAAAGAATGAATAGGACCATACTAGACAAAGTGCGCTGCATGATGTTAAGTTCTGGGGTTCCTAAGTCATTTTGGGGTGAAGCCGTTGTCACTGCCTGTTATCTAATAAATTTGACTCCATCGGCTGCATTAAATGGTGATACTCCACATGAGAAATGGTCTGGAAAATTGGGTGACTACTCAATGCTTAAAGCGTTTGGCTGTGCTGCCTTTTCTCATCAAAGTGAGGAAAAGTTAGAACCTAGAGCCAGGAATTGTGTCTTTCTAGGATATCCCGAAGGGGTTAAGGGCTATAGGCTATGGGATAGAAGCCAAAAAGGAGTTAAGATCATCGTGAGCAGGGATATCACATTTAATGAGAATGAGATGCCTTGTCTAAAGAACGAAACCGAACCTATAAGTGAAACTGAATCAAGTGAAGAAAGAAATCGGTTTAAGGTGGAGTTAGGAAAATTTAACACATCAGTACCTAGTACTTCAAGTGAGGTGGAGATTCAGGTCCAAGAACCTGAAGAAGAAAATGAAGTAGTGATAGAAGAGCATCCTGAGGAAGAAAATCCATTAGCTAACGATAACTTAGTTAGAAATAGAGAGAGAAGGCAAACGAGAGAACCTAGGAGGTTTGGGTATGAATCTGAATTGGATTTTGCATACGCTAGTTACGAAGAACTAGTTGATAGGGAGCCAGAAATTTTTGAAGAGGCTATGAATATTGGTCAATCTAAGGAATGGCTTGAGGCTATGAAAGAAGAGATGAGTTCTCTAGAAAAGAATCAAACTTGGGAGTTAGTACTGAGACCTAAGAATAAATCAATCGTTGATTGCAAGTGGGTCTTTAAGGTTAAGGAAGGTACTAGTAGTACAGAACCCTTAAGATTTAAGGCTAGGTTAGTAGCAAAGGGTTACACACAGAAAGAAGGTGTTGATTATAACGAGATTTTCTCACCAGTTGTCAAGTACACTACTATTAGTGTCATGCTCGCATTGGTTGCGCTCTTTGACTGGGAACTTGAACAACTAGATGTAAAAATCATTTTTTTACATGGAGAGCTTGATGAACAAATCTTTATGAATCAACCAAAAGGTTTTAAAGACAAGTTAAAACCTGATTATGTGTATTTTCTGAAAAGAGCCCTATGCGGTCTAAAGCAATCACCTAGACAGTGGTACAAGAGGTTTGACTCCTTTGTACTCACTATAGGATTTCAAAGAAGTAAATTCAATCACTGCCTGTACTTTCAACACAACGAGACTGATAACAATTATTTGTTTTTGTTGCTCTATGTGGAAGACATGCTTTTAGTTGGATCATCTCCTAAGTGGATAAACAATATAAAAGCAGATCTTAGTGGAGAATTTGACATGAAAGACCTAGGAAAGGCTAAAAGGATTCTAGGCATGGAAATAGAATGAAATAGGTCAACTTCCATCGTATTCTTGCATCAGTCTCCATACATATCAAAGGTGTTGAAAAAGTTTAATATGAGTGACTGCAAACCTGTCACGTTGCCTCTTGCAAACTATTTTGTTCTATCTAAAGAACAAGCTCCCTACAATGAACGTGAAGTGGAATACATGAGTAAAATTCCATACTCAAATGTGATTGGTTCCATAATGTATTTGATGGTTTGCACTAGACCGGACTTAGGATTCGCTATTAGTACTCTCAGTAGGTACATGTCTAATCCAGGTCCTGAACATTGGGAAGCATTAAAGTGGCTTTTAAGATATTTGAAGGGTACAAGTGACGTAGGTCTAAAATTTAGTGCTAATAAAGAAGGCGTAAAATTAAAGGGTTTTGTAGATGCTGACTATGCAGGAGATAGGGATGGTAGGAAATCAACTTCCTCTTACGTATTCACCTTATCAAATTCGTGTGTTAGTTGGAAATCACAGTTACAACACATAGTTGCACTATCCACTACAGAGTCAGAATATATTGCCATCACTGAAGCAATTAAAGAGGCTCTATGACTTAGAGGTCTACTTCATGAACTGAGTGTCTTGAATGAGTATGTGGTTGTGTATTCTGATAGTCAGTCATCCATACATCTATGTAAGAATCCTGTTTTTCATGAACGCACTAAACATATTGATGTTAGGTTACACTTCATTAGGGATATAATATCACAAGAAGTAGTAAGACTTGAAAAAATTCACACAGTATAATCCTTCAGATATGGGCACGAAAGTGCTGCCACTGGTAAAGTTTAGAAGTTGCAAAGAGCTTCTAAATATCGGTACAGGTAAATGATTTCAATTTTATCGGTTTTTCTGTTAGAGGTGTCACTAATGGAAAAACGTTTTTCTTTGCAGGTCCTTTGACACCAAGGTGGAGGTTGTTAGACATCATGTTGTCAAACGACCTCCCGGACGATGATGAAAACCAATTTTATCAGTCGACATGAATGACTGAACGATAATTCAACATCGAATAATGGATGAACCGACCAAACGTTGCTTTACCTATTGGATGGCTAATACTCTTTGTGGCTTGTTGTTTCTTTCCATTAGGACTTAACCCTAGTCGAGCCTACTTACCATATTGTGACTTACCTTAAGTTGGCCATTTAACTAATATATATATTGGAGGTTAAGCTCTTCTCCTCACCCCGTTTTTGATTGAACTCGAGAGGTAAAGAGAAACTGCCGCCTTCTTCTTCGTGATTTGTCTTCCCTACCAATTGCTTGAGCCTTTGTGACTCTTACCTGTGTGGTATCCATCCTAAGTGTGTGGTTGAATCAACAAGCAAAAGAGGAAATAGCAACCATAGGAGAGTTGAAGCCGGCGGTTCGGTCATCTTAGATTTTGGTGTTGAATTCGATGTTTAATGGTTAACTGAGCCCGGAAATCACTTTGAGCGGCTTAAGGAAGATCCTAACAAGAACCACTAAATTCAATTCCATTCCATGGCCCTGACCGGTAAATCGTTTCTGATCCCTTGAGAAGAACAAATTGAGGCATCCCAATATTTTCGAGTCGAAAAGTAACGTCTCCAGGAGAGGGGTCACTAACATCTTTCCATGATGTTAAATACCTGTTTGTGTCGGTGCTCCATCCGAATTTCATGCCTGGTAAAAGCGTATCAGATGGGTAATTAAAGCTTTGCCATATATAGTTTTGTGTGGTATCATCTTCTCTTCTGAGTACAAGGTTGCCAGTTTCCAATAGCTATGCCACTGCTATTCAAAAGAACGAGATCTCCATTAGGGGTAACTGTTAAAACACCAGATGAATTCCTTAATGGGATTTCCCTGTTTGCAATGCACACAATGATTTTTGGGAATTTCTTGTACCATATTCCTATGTACCATTTGCCAGAAATACTGAGTGAAAAGTGTTGGAATTTTGTATCGAAAATTGATTGTGACCAATTTTATTAAGTGGAATTCTTAATTTGGTTAATGACAAATTAGTCAAATGTAATCCACTTAATACTTGAAATTGTTGGAAAATTGTATAGAATATTGTGGAATATTCTAGAAATATATGGATGTGTCTTTTCATATGAATGATCATGACTCTTGGTTTGTGTATGATTAATTTCCAATAATTGTGTTTCTTAATGTATAAAAATAAATTTTAAGAGATGAGTCTCTTGGTATGGTTCTGTCATTTGGCATATCTTTCCAACTATTATATATAGACTCCATGCGTTTCAATTTTATCAACAAAAAAGAAACTCAACTCATAATTCCATATCATTCCATTTTATGTTACACTTTGGTTTTGCATAAAACATTTGTATCAAAGTCATGGTTTTGGTAGAGAGAGAACTAAGTTCTAGTTCGTTGGTCTAAGCCATTAGGAGTGTTCCTATGGCTCGACTTGGTCATTGTATTTTGGGAGATGATTACCAAAAAATCGTTAGCACCAATGCGGAGCAAATTCATCTTAAGGACAACATGTCTAACACTTGCCTCGGCCGATCGCATCACTCGCATCTCACCTTAATTCTTTCTGATTTCTTTCTTCATATTTGATTTCAGAAAAGTAATAACATTCTTTTAATTTCATGTAGGTTTGAAATAAAGAAAGGAAATGATTGAATCTATCGTTTCATCTTCTCAAATTCATTTCGGTAAGACGAAATTGCATTTCGACTTCGTGAACATAAATGGCATGTTTGTGAATATAATGTACACAATATTGATGTAATTTTCCAACAAAAAGAAGCCTAATTCAAAGCTTTGGCCTGAGGAGACCAAAGTCTCACCGTAGGTGATGGAGACATTTGAGCCCAATGTATCAGCAGCACTGCAGAATCCCGAGAATAAAGACGAGAATAATGTGAAATAGTAAGGAAGATAAAATCTCCATTGGCATGTTGCAGAAGGTTTAATTATTCCACTTACATTATCAAAAGTGATAAACAATCATAAATTAATAGCAGTGTTTGATTGTAAAATGTCTACTATACAATTTTAAATATATTTTTTAATAAAGGAAAGAAAAGACACATCTCTCAATTATTCGGTATTCCGCAGTTAATCAATGAATAATTGATTCCTAAATTCGTTGTATTCTCACAACCACTGTGTTTTTAGGTTCGTTCTTTGCTTTCACTTATTTCACCCTTCTGTCTATATATATGTATAGTAGCGCAAGCATGGGCTATGCTTGAAGTTCCAAGTAGAAAGCTACCCATTGATACGTAATTATCCTGAAGGACTTAATATATTGTTTTTGTAAAATTATTATTTTATTTTATTTTTTTGAACTTTTTCTTCAAATGTGAACAGTAATGTATGAACGATGTTGAAAATAGACTATGATCTACAATTGCTTAATAAGACAATTTTAAGAAAATTACAATTATAAGTGTGCTTTTTCTCATGATTTTACTCTTCGCATTGCTTTCCTATCGAGGGACTCACAATTGATAACTAGGTCATTATATATCGTTTTTGATGCATGAAAATCAATAAAAAGATTTACAATTTTCTTAAAGATTTTAAAATACATTATATACAATTATTGTCTTGTTTGAAAAAAAAAAAATTATATAATTATGTCATGCCTCACTAAATTTGAGTCTTGGCTCTGCCTTTAATTGTTGCATCATGTGGTTTCCTCGAAATATCTTTCACGAGTCCTCGAAATATCTTTCACAAGTCTTCCATAAGTATACATGACCTTTTCTTCTACCACCCTTGTGTATATTTACAAGCTTGCCAATAGCCCCGATCAAAAATAATCTTAGTAATATACTCATTTCGTTCCATTTATATAGGCTTGCTTTCCTTAGCCCCTATTTGGCCCCCATTTATATGGGAATTTAAATTTTTGAAATAAGATTTTGTTGAAGAATGTGTTGTTGAAAAAGATGTAAAAGTTTTCGATTTCCGTGTAATATTATTTTATAAAAGATTGTATGATTGAGAAGAAGAGAAATAGTTATTTTTATTATTATTATTTTTTTATTTTTTTTAAATAATGGGAGCCAAATAGAGGCTTATTTTCTTGTCCCAGTCATATACTCAATTTTCTTTATTGAGTTTGTTTTGTTTTGTTCGTTTGCTAATATATCATTATTTAATTTTCCTAATTATAACTAATTTTTTTTACTTAATCTGGAAATTGTACAAATATAAATAAGGGTAAATGAGAAATGTTATTGACAAAGATTGATTTTTCAACAACATTAAATAAGATTTCTTAATCGGCGTGAAAAACAAAACAAATCCATAAAAATGGGACGGAGGGAGTAATATATCTCGAGTAATAATTGTAAACCTTGACAATCATAAATCAATACTTAAATGTTGGATTTGTAAATAAAATAAGCAACTTCTAAAGTTTGTCTCTGTCAATTGAAATTTTGCGTATAAATAAGTTTAACTTGATGATAAGTTTGATTACATACTCATAAGAGATTAACAACATTGGAGTTGGAGAAGCTTGTTAGCTCATAAAAATTATTTTTTTTCTTTTCAGAAAAAAAATTATAAAAATTTTCTTATGTCTCAATATTGTCTTATTTTTGCATTTAGTTTTACAGCGAAACAAGTTAAATTGACATCAAAATAGAATTTTAACTAAAATTGATGTCTAAAAATGGAAACGAAATGGGGTTATTGCAGCTATTTTTGGCTCATTAATATTTTGAACTCGTTATTTGATGATTTTTCAATTAGAAAGGAGCATCGTTAAGTTTTACAAGAATAATTCGATACAGTAACAAGAATCTATCTCAACAAGTGAAGAACATAGCTCGAAAATAAGTTAAAAGAAATAACACCAAAATGAAAATTAAAAGATAAAAATGTGTCAATTAATCCATTTCAACTAGCACCATCTTTGCCTTGTTAGTTTGAACTTGCCTTTTAATGGTTTTTCAACCTAAATATGTTTTACAAAGTTTATCATAAATGCATTGAAACGGTGCCAAAACCTACTCCAACATAGTCTGAAAGTAGGTCGAAAGTGATAACATCAACATACGAATTAAATGATACAAAAATAGGATTATTAATGGGTCTAAACAACTATTCTTAGCTCATTATTTTAAACATGCCATTTAACAATGTTTCAAACAAAAGATATCTTATGAAAAAACCAAACCAAATAGGCTTGAAATGATAAATTCTTGGCTTCGTCACTGATTTTGATTGTTTATAAATGGATCAAGTGATTTTAATAAATGTTTAGAAGTGGAGACAAATTTTGATTTTACCTCTTAAAGATAAGGTTGAAAATAATAGAGGTGAAAGTAAAGTTGAATTTTTCCTCTTTAAAGGATAAGTTATAGTTATCAAATAATTCTTTGTCACTCAGAAGAAAATTCAAACAAGTAAATTTACCGAGTTATGCAAGAAAAGAAAGTTTATTGGTTGATCAAGTACATCTTTGATTTTTCAATATTTTAAAGGAAGAATTCAAGTTGTATTTGTCAAATGATAAACCGCCTTACAAAATCTATAAATAGGCCTTAGGATGTATTCATTAGATATGTATGTTCAATGAGTGTGCGCCAAAAACAATTGAGCACTAAGTGAGAATTTGAGATAGAAAGAGTTTGTTTTTGAGGGAGATAGAGAGTTTGAAATACTTTGTAACTCCTATTTGAAACTCATCTTACAATCTTCTGTTCTTATTTCATAGTAGAGCTACATTATTTCTGAGTGAAATCTTTATCCAAGTTTTGCTATTTTCATTATCCTGGGAAAATCTTCCTTAACAATTGGTATTGGAGCACCAGGTTATAGCAAAATTGGTGGAGCTTGTGAACCTATAAACAATAGTTGTGTTCAACAATAGCTGAGTTGCTACAATATCAATGATGGCAGAAGACGGAAAAGTTAAGATCGAAAAATTCAATGGATCAAACTTCGAATTGTGGAAGATGCAAATAGAAGATTATCGCTAACAGAAGAATCTTTACCTTCATCTTGAAGGAGCGGCAAAGAAGCTAGTGGACATGAAAAATGAAGAGTGGGAGTTGTTCAACCGTAAAGCCTTAGGTACGATAAGGCTGACTCTTACTGCATCTGTTGCTTACAATATCATAAATGAAAAGACAATCGATAGTTTGATGGCGGCTTTATCGTTAATGTATGAAAAGCCCTCTGAATTAAATAAAGTCCATCTTATCAAGAAGCTGTTCAACTTAAAGATGTTCGAAGGAGGAGTTGAAATAGAGCATATCAACAATTTTAATGCACTTATAAGTCAATTGGAATCTGTTGATAACTTATTTGACGATGAGTCAAAGCACTGGCACTATTATCGAGTCTTCGAGAGAGCTTGAATCCTTTGGTTGTGGCAGTAAGCAATTCGTCAGGGTCAGCAAAGTTGAAACCAAATCATGTTGTAGATTTGGTTCTTAGCGAAGATACTCGCAAAAAAGATGGTGGAGAAACCTTGGGTTCGACGTTAGCAACTGACAATAGAGGTATAAAGCCAAATAGATGCGGCAACCATAGGCGAAACACAAGTCGGTCAAGAAATGTTCGATTACTATCTCAACTAAAGTTCAAAGGCAAGTGCTGGAACTGTGAAAAATCAGATCACACAAAGCAAGGTAGCAAAGCACCAAAGAAGCAAGAAACCAACCAAGGAGACAAAAACTTTGTTAATGTTTTGGATGTTGAAAATTCTATTGCATTGTTGTTAGTTGTGGATGCTCATGGAAAAACTTGGATAATTGATTCGAGTGCGTCATTTCATGCTACTTCGCACAAGGAACTGCTTCATAACTATGTACCAGTCAACCTCTGCAAAGTGTATCTTGGAAATGATGAGATTTGCAACATAGTTGGCAAAGGTAATGTTCAAATAAATCAACCTAATAGAACCATTCTAAGAATCAAAGATGTTAGACATGTGCCACAAAAGAATCTTATTTCGGTAGGTCAACTTACTGACTCCAGTATTACAACCACATTTGTTGGAAACACTTGGAAGATGACTAAAGGAGCTATGGTGGTAACTTGTGGCAAAAAGGAAGGTATTCTCTATATTACTTCTGGTACTCATAGTTCCATTGCCATCACATCACCAAAAGTCGAGGCAAGCACGTGGCATCATAGACTTGGACAAATGAGCGAGAAATGGATGAAAGTTCTGATGTCAAAAGGATGAAAGTTCTGATGTCAAAAGGAAAACTACCTGACAATTAGAACGGTCGAAGTTGGTGTATACAGATGTATGGGGACCATCTCAAGTAGCATCTCTTAGCGGCTCTCGCTACTTTGCTACTTTTATTGATGATGCTACTAGAAAGCTATGGGTTTACATAGTGAAGAACAACTCTTATTTATTTGATGTCGTCAAAAAATTGAAAGTCCTTGTTGAGAATAAGATAGGTTTAAAGTTGAAATGTCTCAAGTTAGACATTGGAGGTGAGTACATAGATAGTCAAATGAAGAAATATTGTGTGGAAATGGAATTCAACAACTGATGACAATTTCAAAAAATCGCGACAGAATGGTATTACAGAACA